GTAAAGCATTAAATATATAACTACGAGTTTTACACCAAATAAGTGAGATTTCTTGTTATTCAACAATAGTTGGTGAATAGACAGTAAATGGTACAGTACATTGAATAAGAATAAAATTAACAATTGTAATCGAAAGTAAATAAAGTGAACATGAATTTCTTCGATGTGTACGTTGAATAAGTACACAAAACAAAAGAAAATTGCCAAGAGTACCAAAAAAAAGAAAAGTCGATAGACCATATAAAGTGATAATTCTTTGAACTTGTGCAATTGATGTTGACATTTGATCGAATAAATATATATTTGTTGTTTTTATGTTTCTAGAAGAAGGAAAAAAATGAGGCGTGATATACCAGCATTTTTATAAGAGTTATATCTGTGCATGCTAAATACATTGATTAACGGATTGTTTTTTTGTGTTTTGTTTGCTATGTTCGGCATGCCAACCGAATATGACATTTGGATTAAGATGGTTCTTTTTGCATCAGACAGTTGAATATTTTACTTATTTTTCTGTGCAATTGCCAAGTTATAGTTACAGTAAATGTTTATAAAATTAATAAATTGGAATAATAATAGTGTCTATATGCATGCTCATTTTTGTCTCAAGCAGAATAAATACTTAGTCAGAAGAATTACCACTGTTGTGTTATCCTTGTTATATTCATAATACTAATCATCTACGGAGTCAATTCTTTATTATAAGTACACTCTAATGACATTATGAAATGCTAATAAAAGTATGTAGTTTTAAGCATACTAAATTTTACATTGGACATAGATGAAGTTTATGGCTATTAGGATTATTGTCATTATATGATTAATCCTTCCACATAGAGAATTAAAACGAACAAATTATGTAAAGAAATGTTTTAATTTACAAAAAAAGATAATATGGTTACAGTCGAATCACATAAATAATCTTATCTTTAAGAAAAACAGTCATAGTTGATTTGGTCTCAAGAGAATAGCTGTCTTATATTTGTTGAAATTCGATTTACTCATATATATATGATACAAAAATATGTGAAGAGAAAATTACTATAAAGGGTGTCTCATAATAACTCAGGACAAATTATTAATGACATGTTTTATACTTTTTCTTGATACAGATAGCAGAAATTTTTTATCAGACATATATTTAATGAAGATCTTTTGTTTCTGAAAGTTTCAGATCTCTGACTATAACTAATGATGAAATACACCGACAAAATTGTAATAAATAAACTTTCCTACTCATGTTTTGTATTGTATTTTGACAATGAAAATAATGCAAAAGTCAAATAAGAAAATTTATATATTTCGATCTTGTCGATATATGTCACAATTAGTTAGAGCTCGAGAGCTGAAACCTTTGAAAATAAAAGATCTTGATTAAATATATGTGTGATAAAAATATCAGCTCTCTATGTCTAGAAAAAGTATGAAAAATATCATTAACAATATATCCTCAGTTATTATGGGACATCTTTTATATTTGTGAAATGAATAAAGCTTGCTAGTTGAAAATATATCGAAAAGTAATTATCTTTTTATTTATAAGAAAATGAAAATCTGATGGAAGAAATGAAGAATGTAGTCTAGTATCATTAAAAATTAAAATCTTATGTTCTTTTTTTTGTCAAAGATCAAATGAAGTATTTTATTAAAAAATGGTTATAGACAACAGATCCTTTAAGATTCATAACTAAACAAAGTGTAGACAGCAATGATTTATTAGAATTTTCCCCATTGCATTGAGACTTAATTCCATATAAATGATTGATTTGAAAGGTATCACGTCTTCAGAATGGTTCTTAATATAGAACAAAAAATATGAGAAAAAAAAGGCAAAACAAATACCGTGAATTTTATTCTAATACTATTGTAGACGGCGCAAATGTGCGTCATGTAGGGATGTAAGAGCAATCAATTGTATTATTGCTTATTGTGCAAATATTTTCATTTCGCAAATGGTCGGCTGAATAATGTAAAAAATCACTATGAAATCTGTTTCTGATTGATCGAAACTCTTTTCAATTTAGAATAAATGATCTACTAATATGAAATCTATACGTATACTCACTGGAAGTCTGATGATTAATATATTGTTTACCGTGTATATTATTTTTAGCTTTGTTTTTGGATTTGATGATAATGAATCTGTAAACGATATTTTTCTTTTTCTTTTGATTAATGTAACAATAAATTACTAAGTCTTCATAAAATAGGTTTTGTTATGTTAGATGCAATTATTATATAAAGGTACCGGAATCGCTGAACCTTAATTTGATGCCACTGTGATTTTCTTCGGCCTTTATTCTAAAACGTGAAGTAGATCATTGTGCTATTTTTGCGACTCAACGATCTCATAGAACATAATTCTAGCAAAAGTTTCTTTTTCAAAAACTACAAATAATTGGTTGAAATGAAGAGATAATTATTTTTTCTTCTCTTTCTCTACTATGTCAAAATATAAAAGGGAACACATATATCGAATATTACTCTGTCTCAAAAAATAAACTATTTCTTTTTTATTTGAAAAAGTGTTCATCAAAACAAAACCATTCGTCTATATTTCTTTAATAGAAATTTACCTAAACAAAGTATATAATACAGATTAAATTTAGTCTATCAGCAGAATTTTTAAAGCATGGATGAGTAAACAAAAAGAAAGAGTGAAAACATTATGAAAAATTTTTGCTACTAGATATTGGAAGTTAACGGGTATTTTTAACAGCAAAGAAATTTGATTAGTCAAATATTTTTGTCCTTATACGATGTCGAATGTTTAATTATTGAAGATGTAATAGTTACCAGAAGAGCAAACATAAATATTAAATAAGAGCGCACTTGAACATGCTGTTTACAGATGAAAGTGCTAAATTACGCTTACTCATATTGCTAATCGAAATTATTTAGTATTCACAGTCTATGTTTGTATTGGTGAGATTTTCATTTTAAACGGACTTATATAAATTATAATGCCTTGTTTTTAATTTAATGTTTGTCTCCAACAAGATATATAATGAGAGATCATCACTTGACATAATACGAGTTTGTGACCGTAATGGACTTTGTCAAAAAATGAAATGAGATTCTCAAAAAGATGCAATTAATGATAAAGGTTTTATTGTAACAATTTCTATTTTAGTAAGTCGTCTTGTCTTATTTAAGAAGACAGAAAATTCAAGTCTGCTTTTAATCTATTGAAAATTCTCGTTCTGTTTTATTTCAAATTGTGTAATAACAATGAGATAATCAAGAAGCATTGACGAAACTAATTATACTCTGTATGTCATAGCATTTTTTTCACATAATCACAATAATTTCTTTGTATTTTACAAATTTCCATGTTTCTAACGAACATAAGAGAAATTAGTAATTAGAAATTTTCATTCTTCATATACATTGTGTTTTGGCAATTTTATCAAGTGAGATGACTGAGTTACATAAATTGCTGAAGGCCGGCGCCCCCCCCCCCCCCCCCCCCCCCACCCCGCCCCCCGCCCCCCCCTCACCCCACCTACTCCCTACTGACTACCTG